ATTACATATTATAAGAATATTTTAATTAATTGAAACTTAAACATTTATATTTAGATATCATTTTTTTATTATCGTTTCTGCATTGCAAAAAAATTATAAAACTTTACAAATAAAACTAGCGTTTTTCGAAATCGTTCAAATGTCCTAATCTGCGTAAAAACATTTAAATATAGAAATGTGAAACTGATCAATTATCATCAGTACATACACGGACTGTGGTATTTTTGAGACTTTGGGCATTAATGCCACAGAAGTTCTGTGACAGATCACTTCTCGCGAGAAGTCACTGTGGCCAGAAGTAATGGAGGTCGGTGGTAACGGCGCAGGGCTACCTGTAAACAATAAACAGAGAGCCATGCTGCCAAACAAGAGTAGAGGCGAGTTTACCCGCAACCCAAGAAAAGATTCCGAGGTACGAAGAAAGAATTGAGCTATCTGTTTATATCATGAACGCTGTTAGTGTTAGCTAACTCTGATAGCCGTGACATGCTAACGTTGCTAACAGAACTCCGCAGTGAGAATAAACAACTGTAGAGTTTAGTCTTTATTGGGGAAAAAGTATTCTACAACTGTAGAGTTTAGTCTTTATTGGGGGGAAAAAGGATTGTAGTTTTTTGTGTGTTTTCCTTGTGTTAGTAATTACATGGGCATGGTGTCACACAACAGGGTGGAATAGAAATTGAGTATCTTGCCGATGCTATCAGCGGCTTACAGGTAACGCAGCTAGGTAAGGGGAAAGGTTGCTAATGCTATCATCATAGTCCAGACTCTGTCAAGTCATGGAGTTTGGTATTGCTGGAATTCTAATTGTCCTATTCCGGTTCAACTGCTTATTATCGATTTCGGGGTTGTTGTTTTTTGTACTGGTTACAGTAGTGGATGTTTATGATAAATCAGAAAGTAAAATAGAAAAACAACATTGTATTGTAGAGATACATTGCCACCAAACTAAACAGAATTTCAGTGGTCTCTCTGTCTGTCACAGGGTCTGTCCGAGTCTCCAGATTTGGAGTTTGAATATGCTGACACAGACAAGTGGGCTGCAGAACTGTCAGGTTTGTACTTCCTCATGCAGACACAAGAGTTTCGCAATCTCAGCTGAACAAATAAATTAATAAATGATCTGTATGTTCGTTCCAGAACTGTACAGTTATACAGAAGGACCGGAGTTTGCCCTGAACAGAAAGTGTTTTGAGGAAGAATTTCGAGAACATGGTATGTGATGAAACTGTCACACACTGAGAAATCCATCTGTAATGTAGGAAGCACACACACTGGATACCTAACGCAGACATGTGTTGTTCAATATGTTCTTTTTCAGTGTCTGAAAAGAAGTGGACAGAGCTCGATGAAGACCAGCACAGAGCTCATGCCATGCGCCTGTTGGACAGTCTGGAGGTAATTGCCAGGGAGAAGAGGCTGAAGGTTGCAAGAGCAATTCTATATATGGCTCAGGGTGAGTCCATGTTGACAGAGTACCTGAAGAAATTTTTTTTTTTAAAAGAGTCCACGTTGACAGATTACCTGAAGAAAATTTTTAAAAGAGTCCACGTTGACAGATTACCTGAAGATTTTTTTTTTTTTTAATATATGTATATATTTTCATATTGACTTTTCTTTCAACATGTTTGTGTCCAGGAACATTTGCTGAGTGCAGCTCTGAGGCTGAGGTGCAACATTGGATGAGATACAATATTTTCCTGCTCTTGGACGTGGGGACCTTCTCTGCTCTGGTGGAACTACTCAACATGGAGATCGAGTATGTTGGCAATGAGACAATTTTTGAATTTAATTCAGCTTAAACAAGACGTTGTCAGCTTAAATGTAGAACATATTTTCTCGTTTATTCAGTAACAGTGCTGCCTGTAGTAGTGCTGTGAGAAAACCTGCCATCTCCCTGGCGGACAGCACAGATCTCCGGGTGCTGCTCAACATCATGTACCTGATGGTGGAAACGATCCAACAGGAGGACATGGCTGACAGACCGGAGTGGAAAATAATCAGGGAAACCTTCAGAGCAGAATTAGGTAAACATTAAAGCTCTTAGTCTCTGTTGTTGTCTGATTCTACAAAACATGACAGAAACAAAACCTCAGCTTGTTTCTCTAACATAGGTTCTCCTCTGTTCAACAACGAGCCCATCTCTGTCATGCTCTTTGGAATGGTTACTAAGTTCTGCAGCGGACACGCCCCTCACTTCCCAATGAAGAAAGTGTTGTTACTCTTGTGGAAGAGCATACTTGTAAGAGAACAACAGTCGGCTCTGATTCACTTCGTCCAACAATGACACGGGTCAAAATCTTCGTCTCTTTTTTTCATCGCAGTTCACACTTGGTGGCTTTGAGAAGCTTCAGAGCATAAAGGTTTGTAAGCGTGAGGAGCTGGGTCTGCCTCCTCTGCCGGAGGACTGCATTCGAGTCATACGCAGCATGAGAGCGGCTTCTCCTCCCGCGTCAGCGTCCGACCTCATAGAGCAGCAACAGAAACGTGCACGCCGTGAACACAAGGTAATCTTTACCCCTGCTGATGTCTGCACAAATATCAATAGAGGTCTTTACCCCTGCTGATGTCTGCACAAACACAGGATATTGTGGTTTTCTATTTTATCTATTCAATAGAGATGTTGTACAGATATTGACCTGTTTTCCATTTCCAATTTTTTAACAGTAACAATTCTAACTTGATTATACCCTGACTAGAGAGTCTCTATTCCAAGCCAAGTTAAATAAAGCTTTATTTATTTTTTAAAAAGTCAAAATGTCTGCCAGTTCCACTGTTCTGGTGAACCCTAAAGAAGGAACACCATTTTCTTTGCTGTGGATTTTTTTAGATACTGAACCATTTTTTTAAGCATTTAAATCAAATCCAACTGCTGGGCATTGTTAATAAATCATTGATTATAAATATAATATTGGTTTTCAACCCCCCTCATGTCACGTGTGGGGCTGGCTCCCTGTTGCCGGGAAACAAGTCCTCAGCCCTGACCGAACAGGCCCACCAACAAAAAATGACCTATTTACTGTGACACTTTAAATGGAGCTATAAAAAAACAGTCAGAGTCTGGTCCAACAATGAAACGAAACAATCTAACTCTTCTACAGCCATGTCATTTAAATGACATTGACATGTTGGTCACACAGGCTCTGATCAAGCAGGACAACCTGGATGCCTTCAACGAAAAAGACCCGTACAAAGCTGACGATGCTCGCGATGATGAGGACGACAGCGATGACAACGACAACTCTTTAGAGCCTGAGACTTTCCCCCTGGAGAGGGACGAGGTGATGCCCCCACCTATTCCTCACCCTCCGTCTGAGAGGGTCTCCTTTCCTAAAGGTCTGCCGTGGGCTCCTAAAGTCAGGTACTGCACGCTCTGATCCTAACAGATAAACACACGTACTTTGAACATGAGCATCAAATGATTTGTTTGTCTTTAAACCATATCGTCTTTTCTTTGCAGAGAAAAAGACATTGAAAACTTTCTGGAGTCTAGTCGAAGTAAATTCATTGGTTACACACTCGGGAGGTGAGTGTGTTCTGACTGATGTTCTCAGAATGATCCCTAACTGTGTCTGTAAATAATGTTTTTTTTTCTTACCTCACAGTGACACAGACACAGTTGTTGGTTTACCCAGACCCATTCATGAGAGCATTAAGACGTTAAAGCAGGTGAGGGAGTTTATCCATCACTTTATATCAATATATATCAACAGCTTCTCAACTTTTGTTTCCTGCTTTTCAGCACAAGTACATCTCCATAGCTGAGATCCAGATCTCCAAAGAGGAGGAGTTCCAGAAAACCCCTCTGTCGGTCGTAAGTAGAAACAAAAGAGTTTTGGTTTATTAAATTGTTGCATTAGTAGCGTGAGAAATAACTTCTTTTTGTTTATCCTCTCTCTCTCTCTCTCTCTCTCTCTCTCAGGGTGAAGAAGATGTGGAGATGAGCTCCACCGAGCTGCTCTATCAGGGAATTCTACCCAGTTTGCCTCAGTACATGGTGAGCATGTTTGTGGTGGTGTGTTTTCAACCCCCCAGCAGAGGCCTCGCCCCCCACTTTGGGAACAACTGTTTTTCCTCTGGAGTTTCCATGTTCTTTATGTCTGACAGAATAGAAATATCATCAGTTTTTGTACAAATATTAATCTCCATATTAACGCTCTGCTGTAAATAAACTAAAGTATGTTTCTCCATGAACATCAGATCGCTCTGCTGAAGATCCTCCTCGCGGCAGCTCCAACATCCAAAGCCAAAACCGACTCCATCAACATCCTGGCGGACGTTCTCCCAGAGGAGATGCCGTAAGTGACGATGCAGCCTGCAGCACGTCCCACAGAGGTTTACCGTCCGTTGGCTTGACTGTCTGTCTGTCTCTCTGTCTGTCTGTCTGTCTGTCTTTGCAGGACCACAGTGCTGCAGAGCATGAAACTGGGTGTGGACGTCAATCGACACAAAGAGATCATCGTGAAGGCCATCTCTGCCATCCTGCTGCTGCTCCTCAAACACTTCAAACTCAACCACATTCTGTCTGTCTTGACACCACACACACACACACACACACGTGTGTGCTGACCAGGGACTGTGGATAAGAAGTGGGTGTAGTCATCCTGCCCTTAATGCAAAAGAATTAAGTCGGCATTTCACCTGCAGGGGGCAGTTGTTGGGGCTGCAAAAAGTATATATAAGTCTAGTGATCACTTCAATCACTTCAAGAAAAATAATTAAAAATTTTAATTCCACGACTGTAACACCTTCTATATTCAGTACCAAAGCCTCAGCATTAATTTATTGTTCACAGTTTATGGTTCCTTCTCACTTCATCTTCTTCAGTGTTTTATCAATAACCCGCTCGATGTCTCCACAGTTCGAGTACATGGCTCAACACCTGGTGTTCGCCAACTGCATTCCTCTCATTCTGAAGTTCTTCAACCAGAACATCATGTCTTACATCACAGCTAAGAACAGGTCATTTGAAATCATGTGACTGCAACAATCCACGTTCATATGAACAGTGAATGATGGTGAACAGTTCAGTAAAAGACTTTCATTCACTCCTCCACTCTCTGGTCTCAACAGCATTTCAGTCCTTGACTTCCCTTACTGTGTTGTACATGAGCTCCCAGAGTTAACTGCTGAGAGTTTGGTAAGTTGTTCTTTTTTTATGTTACTTGGTGATAGTTTGCGTTGATAATTTTTTTTTTTTTTTAACGTTACTTAGTGATAGTTTGCGTTGACTGCATGTTTTGAATCTAATGTAATATTTCAGGAAGCGGGAGACAACAATCAGTTTTGCTGGAGGAATCTGTTTTCCTGTATTAACCTGCTGAGGATTCTCAACAAACTGACCAAGTGGAAACACTCCAGGACCATGGTGAGAGAACCACGGGTTTACCCTCACATGTACCCTCACCTGTACGTGTGTGTGTGTGTGTATGCAGACTTCAGTTCTCAATGCTAGTTTTCTTTTTTCTTTTTTACCTAGATGTTGGTTGTGTTCAAGTCGGCTCCCATCCTGAAGAGGGCGCTGAAAGTAAAGCAAGCCATGATGCAGCTCTACGTTCTGAAACTGCTCAAAGTCCAGACCAAATACCTGGGACGTCAGTGGAGGAAGAGCAACATGAAGACGATGTCAGCCATCTATCAGAAGGTCCGACATCGTCTCAATGACGACTGGGCGTATGGAAACGGTAGGTGGAAATAAAATGTTTTTTTGATTTAATACATTTTAATTCATTTTTAAATTTTTAACTTCATAAAGAAACTTGTTAAATGTTGAAAATGTTAAATTGAACCCTCAGTTACATTCATTGTCTGTATGAATCTTTTCTTTTGGATGCACACCCCCATCTAGATCCCAACCAAGTTGACGCCTCCAATTTATATTTACTTGATAATCAAAATCTCAGCCTTTTATTTGTAAATATTACAAAAGAAATGTTTATTTACACACCTTTGTTGTGTGGAAAAATCCTATTTAAATTTTTTTTTTAATCTCGCACACCCCCTAGTGGCAGCTCACGGACTCGCATCACACTTTGACAATCCCTGGCCTAACCTATATAGCAAACTGAAAAGCTGTGACTTTTTTTTTTTTTGCTGTATTTTTATGTGATGTTTTGTCATATTTCAAATCAATCTGACAAACAAACGTCCTCAGTGTTAGATCTGATGAACTAATCCAATGACCTCTCACCCTGACCAGATCTGGACGCCCGTCCCTGGGACTTCCAGGCCGAGGAGTGCGCTCTGAGGGCCAATATCGAACGCTTCAACAGTCGTCGCTACGACAAAAGTCACAGCAATCCGGACTTCCTGCCTGTGGACAACTGTTTGCAAAGTGTCCTCGGACAGCGGGTGGACCTGCCTGAAGACTTTCAGATGAACTATGACCTGTGGCTGGAGCGTGAGGTCTTCTCCAAACCTATATCCTGGGAAGAACTGCTGCAGTGAGAACCATCGTCGTGACATCATTTGTTTTCTTCAACTACATCAGTTTGAGTCGGGAGATTATGGTCAGTGGTTCAGATCTCAGTGAAAACGTCATGTGACGTGTGTTTTGTACAGACTGTAGACTATGGGTCCCCAATCCCTGGTGCGGGGACCGGTGCCGGTCCGTAGGTCATTCGTTACCGTTTCCGTTTTATTTTGAAAATATAATGATCCTTTGACGATAGTGTGGTATTACTGGTCCACAGTAACAGGTGATACCGACAGACTGGTGCCTGGTACAGACCGCTGCTTTAGACCACGGTTGGACTCCAGGTCTACCTTCAGTTATTACCATGGGTAGGTCTGGGCCTCTGTTTTTACCAGAGCTACAACCAAACGCTCTGATGTGATGAACTGATGCCTTTGAGAACAACAGTGTTTTGTTTTAGTTTTTTTAAGTCATTTGACCTTTTACCACACTTTACCACTACTTGTTGACTCCTTGTGGCTCCACCTGGTACTGCAGGTCAATAACCTTCAGCACTACACCGGAGTGTGTTTTTACTGAGCTGTGATGTTTCTAATGTGAGGAGGTCGACGACTGTTAAGAAACAGGCTTCTCATCCGTGATTTCTCTTCAACACAAATATTAACTTCTTTATTAACAAACATTCGTCACATCCTTCCTGCTGTTGATTTAAATTTCTCCGTCTACAAACCTTACTCTGGGACCATTCTCTAAAAACATTCATTCATTTTTTTTATGTTTTATTGTTTTGTACATCAAAGTTATTATTTTATTTATCCACTGTAGTTGCCATTACCTCAATGTGTGGAACAAAAAAATATATATATTCAATCGCCAACTTTGGTTTCCTTTTTCTCTCCCACATGATTTGAACTGAACTTATTGGTTATGAAAAAATAAGTTGCCTTGTATACAACAATCTTCTCTGAGCTTTTCTACCTTTTGACTTTTTTTGTTTGTTTTATTTTAAAGCGTAGGCAAACAAAAAAACACACGTGTAAATTGGTGAACCTGTTAATCACAGCCTTGTGTTGTTTGTAACATCTGAAATACTGTAATAAAAGTTTGCTGCCATTCACTTGACATGGTATCAGTTTTAAAAAGCACTACTTTTGTGTTTTTTTTTCCCTGAATCCTGAATCCCTTCTGGTTTTTGCACATATTTGCACTGATTTTTGTCCCCAAAATAACTACTAAAACTAGATGTATGAACTATTTATTTATTACATTTCAGTAGCAAATTACTGGCATTCATCCTCATTATTTCTTTGTTTTGTGTTGTTGATTTAATTCGTCATTTTTCCTGTTAACAGCAACACATCCTAGAGCAGGGGTGTACATATAACTTCAAAACATCCTGAACATGAAGTGTTTGCGTATTTTTTTTAATTTGATTTCAACATTTATGAAGCGGACCGGTTTTCGCCCGCGGACCGTATGTTAGACACCGCTGTCCTAGAGTTTAAAGTGGACTCTCTCTTAACTTCAGCGTAGCACACGTAGTCAGACATCACCGTGTGATGAATCGAAACTCAGCAGCAGTGATGAACTGAGTTTGTGGCCCCGCCCACTTGGCCACAGAAAGAGGAAGACACAGCTTTAAGTTCAAATTCTCATCCTTTCGTTTGGAACATGGCGGGAAGACATGACGGAGACCGTCTCCGCTGTAGATGCAGCGTTCACCTGGTCACCTTCACCTGTGGACACCTACTCTGTCCCAGATGTGACCGCGGCGAGGACGGTTGGAACGGGCGTCCTGATTGTAGACACACGTTCGATGACGACGATGACCGTCATCGTCGCACCCCGCAGAAGAGAGCATGGAGTTCCAGCTCCAACGATTCAACGGAAGGGGTCATGTGCTGGAGACACGGCTTTCCCCTGGATGTTTACTGCTGCACGGATAAGCGGATCATCTGTGCCGTGTGCGCCGAGGCCGAACACGGAGGACACAGTATCGGCTGTGTCAGGGAGGAACGAAGGAGGGTGCAGGTACACAAAAAAAAAACAACAAGTTTTTGGATGGATGGATGGTTCCATCCATCCATGATCTACTACCAATTCCTTTGCAGCGTCGCAGGGGGGCGCTGGAGCCGATCCCAGCCTATTTACGAGCTTTAGATGATTTTGAACCTCGTGTTTTCCCTTGGTTCAAGGTTTGTGTGTGAGCTTCTGCCAACTATTTCTCTTGAGGGACAAGAATCAAACCTGTTCCCACGACACTGGCCTTGTACAAAATGCGAAGTACGACTTTGCATTTTGGAGGGTTAGGCACAGTCAGTACGGTGGTTTGGCACCGTTTATTGCCCATTGTTATTAAAAAAAAAATCAGAGAAATCAAAACATTAACCCTTCCATCAGAGGGCGCCATTAATGACAGCCTATAGTGGCCTATGCCATAAGCCAGGTCTGGTTTTACTACTTTATGCCCCCAAAGGTTGGCCAGGTATGGCTGATAAGGAACAGTATTTTTTTAATTAAAAATGAAGTAAAAAGCCAACCAGAACCTGTTAATATGTTAGTACTTGAGGGAAAATGTTTTGTACTACTAATAATTCATAATAATAATAATAATAACAAACAATTGTCCCTTTCCTAACGTGTTGTTGGTGAATTTTTTTTAATTAAAAATGAAGTAAAAAGCCAACCAGAACCTGTTAATATGTTAGTACTTGAGGATAATAATTTTGTACTACTAATAATTCATAATAATAATAATAATAACAAACAATTGTCCCTTTCCTAACGTGTTGTTGGTGAATATAAAAATGTTTGTTTGTGTTTGTCTTTCACACGTTGTAGGAGGAGCTGAAGAAGATGCAAACGAAATCCTCCAAGATTCTGAAGAAACAGAAAAAGAAGTGTGAAAAACTGAGGAAGGACATTGAACACATCCAGGTGAGCGTCTGTGGAGTGTCTGTGGAGCGTCTGTGGAGTGTCTGTGGAGTCGGAGGTCGGTTGATGGACTGGATCTGATGTGTCTGACACAGCACGAGGCCACACAGACGATGGACCACTGTGAGAGCGTCCTGCTCGGTGTCATCAGCTCCATCCAGAACCACTACCTCAGACTGAGGAGCCTGATCGAAGCTCACCAGGAGGGGGCAGCAGCTCAGCTCATCACATCTGTCCAGGAACTGGAGACCAGGATCGAGGAGTTGGACCAGAGGAGGGTTCAGCTGGATCGTCTGGCCGAGTCTGACAACGACGTCCACTTCCTGCAGGTATCGTGATCACTCATGTACTCACTCAACGTCAACGCACCACAGCAGCGGTTCTCAACCTGTGTTGTACCAAGGACCGGTCGGTCGGTACCAGCCGTTACTGTGGAGCGGTAAAAATCACACCATCATAGAAGGGTCATTACATTTTTAAAAATAAAACATCTTTCAGACTTTCTTCTGTTAGTATCTGAACAGGGTCTGAATGACCTTTGACCTGTTGTTTTGACATGACTTGTTTTGATATGACTGGATTCTTTTTGGGATGTAAAGTAAAGTAGTGTTTTGGCAAATTTGTCACCTTGGAATAAAGAATAAAACAGAAACTAAACAACAACAACGTTGTTTGTTTTAAAGAGTTTATTGGAGAATTGAGTGAAAGTTGTTGTCGAGGCTTTGATGAAACTCCGGGGCGTGGGTCTTACACGTCGAGGCTTTGATGAAACTCCGGGGCGCGGGTCTTACACAGAGTAACACAGGCGCTTGCACGTGCGCTGGATATGCACTTGTCTGTACGAGAGCGCTGGTTGGACGTGCGCTGGATACGTTTGTGTGCACGTGGGCCTCAGTAACAGGGAGTATGTGGATAGAGTTTTCAAGGCCTTAGAGGAGCCAGAGAAACAGTAATGAGTGGATTTCCCACCACTGGCTCACACTCACTGGTTGTTTCAGTGTTTTTCCACTGACTACGTGAGTCTCAGTACAAGTCAATTGGTGAATAATAACACAGAATATAGTTTTGTCATAACTGAAGTACATTTTTTCTACCGTGTCTCGCTGCAGTCCGGCACAAAAAGTTTGAAGAGCGCTGATCTAAACGGTTAATTCTGCTTCTCACCCTCAGGAATGGCCCTGCCTGCAGAAACTCTGTGAGGAGGAACACGTCCGCTGTCTGTCTGCAGCGTCAGCAGATCCATTTCTGCCCTTTGAGCTGACGAAGAGAAGTGTTGAGGCTCTGGGGACGAAGCTGGAAGAGTTTTCCAACAAAGAGTTTGGCCCGGTGTTTGAATCTGGTTCGTACTCTCACAGAGAATGAAGGAGTCATGATCTACGATGACCTGTTTTATATCTGTGTTATTCTCACATCCTGGCACGTTAAAAAGTGGATGGAGAAGAAGCAGAGGAGGAGGAGGAGGAAGAGGAGGAGGAAGAAGAGGAGCAGGACCTGCAGGAAGAAGAGCATCCCAGCGTCGCACAGTCTGATGGTGGGTTTGTAGAGCTAATAATTAGTGAACAATATGTGAATTCATTTGTCAAATTAATCAGATTATCTTTCACCGCAGTAATGACTTAAATTCATTTGTCAAATTAATCAGATTATCGACACAATCTTTCACCGCAGTAATGACTGAACCAACACACATTTTTTTTATGTCAAAGAAAGTTTTTTTTTTTTACAGTGGCTCCGTTCATCACAAACCACTCACTGACTCATCACCACCAGGAGCCGACGACCAGAGCAGAGTTTCTACGCTGTAAGTTCTTTATTTTGTGCTCACCATAATCTCTGTTTTCCTAACTTTGACTAAAAAAAAAAAACTTCAACTTCATGCAGTGTAAAGTTAATCAAAGTTCAGTCGACCTGGACGGCAGTAAAATTACAAATGACAGCTATTGAAGTTTTACTGCAGTACCCCTGTTTGTCAATAGGGGGTGTTGAATCCTAATATTAATTATACCTAATAATATATAATAATACTAACTATAACTATATATTATGTTGTGAAGTAGTAACAAACACTGGACTGAGTCGGACTTTCTCTCTCCGTGGTTCTAGATGCCTGTCCTCTGACCTTTGACCCCAGCACGGCCCACCAGGACCTGTTGGTGTATCCGGGGGACACAGTGGTGGAGCGAGTGTCTCGGGGTTTAAAGAACTCAGCTTCGACCAAACGGTTTCTTCACCAGCGACAGCTGCTGTGCAGCGAGCCCCTACAGGCTGAGCGCTGCTACTACGAGGTAGAGGTCAAAGGTGAAAAGGCTGAGATCGCTCTCGCTTACAAAAGAATAGACAGGAAATCCCAAACAAAACGTTCTGCCTTCGGGGCCAATGCTGACTCCTGGAGTCTGGACCTGTTTTTAGACTACTCAGTGAGTCACAAAAATCAAAGCGTCAAGCTGACGAAGCCCCGCCAGCATCACACCATCGGGGTCTACGTCAAGTTCAACGAAGGATCCGTGTCTTTTTACGAGGTGTCGGACACTATGATCTTTCTTTACAAGCTTAATGCTGAGGCGTTCACTGAACCTCTGTATCCAGGCTTCTGGCTTGGAGAAGGATGTCGCATCAGGATCTGTGATTTAAGACAGGAGAGACAGTGAAACCACCAGATCATGGAGTGCTGTGCAAAAGACTTAGGCAGGTCTGTCTGTGTGTGTGTGTGTCTGTGTGTGCGTCCTTTTTTTAAATTTATTATAAAGAATAAGAAGTTCACTTGAGATAATGTTTTACATTCTCCAGTAATTCTGGACGGTGGGGGAGGGGAGGGGAGGCATTTTATTAACACGTTTACCTAGCTGTGCAACTAGCCGTCCGACCTGGCTGAACAGGTCCGGTAGCCACAGTCCAGTCCACGACCCAGAGCTTTGTCTAACTTGCCCCAAAAAAGAAAAATGGTGCATAAAGTGGGTACATATTAAATGTATCCACTGAGTCGACTCTGAACTTAGGCAACGTAGGCTTTTGTCTAGGGCGCCATCTGCTGGAAGAGGTGTTGTGTTTACCGTCGTTGAATTAGCAACACACTGGTTGCGTTTTTATTCAGTTTTCATTACAGTTTCTTTTTGTATTTTTTTTTATAAATATATATTTTCATATATACTTTGTTTACATATATTTTACTATATATATATAAATATATATATAAAATGTTCGACGTAGTGTGATAGTGTGTGGAACCAGTTTATGAAGCATTTTTGGTTGAAGGTATTGTTTGTTTATTCACACGTTGATTTGACAAATTCATTAAAGTCAGGATTTAATCACGTTTCTAATCGATGTCTCTGTTAAAAATCAAAACCGAAGAAAAGTCCAATTATGATGGTTTCCAGTATTACGACTCCCTCTGCTAACACAACGTTACACAATCTCACACACACACACACCCACACACACTTCTGTAAAAGGCTATTTATATTGCTTTGGTTATGTAAAGGGATATTACGGGTATTCTACTGATGAATTTACGGCAGTTTGACGCTACAGAATAGTTTCTCTACCGAAACAGAGAAAACCGGACGGAGTTGAGTCCACGTACAGACACAGCAGGGAGAGTGTTGTCCCATTGCATTGTGGGTACCTAAGTGGAATTGTGGATTGGGCCAACCAAACACCTGGTAAAGACTGTTGTCAATTCTTTCACAATGAGTTTGCTGTCATTTCTACTGATTCCTCTAGAGGGCAGCAGACATCAAATGTGCCATATTCTAGCTGATAAACTCGCAGGAATTGATGAAAGACAATAATCTTCTTTAGCAGCTCTGAGTCGCTCTTATGTTTTTTAGCTATCTGCTGCCACCTAATGGAAAATTATTTAATCGTCCGACCTGACGCTTTTAGATGTAAACAAATAACAGCTAACCGATCAATAAAGTTATACTAGTTAACCTTCCCTAGTAGACGTGCTGCCGTCTCATGGTCCACTAATGGGCCGCAGCACAGTGGTTGAGAATCACTCAATTTAGCCATCAGTCGTTTTCTAAGTGTGGGTTTGTGCTTTTTGCTCGTTCGGGGGAGGCTAGCAATGTTGGAACTTAGAAACACCCAAAAACATGGCCTTCACTAACCAGCTGACTTCTCCTATGCTAATTGCTAAATGCTAATAACAGCCTTGTTGCACAAACTCCAACAGCAGCGTATGGAGTCATGTTGACTCGAAAAAGCCAAAGACATAAACTTCATGGATACAACTTCTTTAAGAAGGAGACTACATGAGAATACTATATATACAGTACACACATATATATACTATATATATAAATATATATATAACACAAGAGAAATCAATGATATTTACACCAGTGTGTACTGTACAAATACAGAAATATAAACATTTTACCACAACACAACGGCTAAATATTAAATACAACCTAAAATATATATATATATATTAAAAAATAACCTTCTTCACGTAAGGCTTGAGCTGGAGGAGGAGGAGGAGGTTAATGAGACGCACCTGTGAGGTGAGTGTGTGAGAACAGGGAGGACAAAGAAGCTGAGAGCAAGAACAAGCAGTGAAGAGAAAAACACGTTTAGCTCCGTTACTGGAAGAAAAAAAAAGAAAAGAAGGTGAAACATGGAGGAAGTGAGCTGATGATCACGAGGAAGAACTGGATTTATGTCATGTGACCAGTCAGGTGGACCAGAAGCTGCTCCTACGTTGGTGACCTGTTTGGATGACCGGTAAGGTATCTACAGTGTTGGTTCTCTGACTTCCAATGAACAACCCTGAGAAGTTCATCCAAGAGTTTGGACGACAAGTAAAGGTTTCTCCTGATCCACACGCCCCCTGCAGGGGGGGCAGGGGAGCTACATTCCTTGTGTATATTAACAGTAAGAGTACAGTACTGCATACTGGACCTATGATTTACTTCAATGTTGATGTAATGGCTCATTTCTGGTGGCGACAATCTTGTGCAAAATATGAATAACACGTCGTTCTGTGTGACCTCGAACCACGGGTTAGAACACGCTGTTGTTTCTGTGGATCGTTTTATCATGTGATATTACAGTTAACACACACTGTACTCCATATGTATTTACCATATACTTTCACCATTAGGATGGAAAAATAACTGATGTGCATAAAAAGTGTGATGATAAAGCTAGCTCTTTTATATGCGATAATTCTCAACCAGGGGCTCCCGGACCTCTGGGGGTCCATTGACGACAGTCAGGAGGTCCATCTATGACCTGAATTGTGCTATATTCTTTAATAAGCTTTCTTTCAGCGCATTCAAGAGGTGCAGTAGATATGACCCCTCCCTCCCCTCCCCACCCGCCTCATTATTCTGATTTATTTATGACATATTCAGTGATTTGGAGCCTCAGCTAATCGGTAACAGTAGAATAATCTTTATGTTTGTTCAAGTCTTTCTAAATGAGCTAAATTGAGAAGTTAGTTACCAGAGCGCTGATCGCACTGACTACATTCTTAGTGAGGAATTATGTGTCTTGGCCTGAGGAGGGCGTTACAGCGCCGTTGTTTTTTCAAGGTGAGACTGTTACCTTGTAACTAAAGGCAAAGAAAAAAAACAGTGAATAAACTGTCTCAGTCTTTTTCATCATTTACGGCCCTTACATTTGTAGCTGCTGCCAACATGGCTACTGTCTATGTTGAACGTGTACAGATTAGTTAAATGATAAACAGGTCTGTGTAGGTAGGTCATTGATGTGGATTCTTGGCGCTGCAGTGACCCCTGGTGGAGACTTTATGTCCAAACAGTTAGTATTGCTACAGGTTCTGGGTGATGGAGACATGTTTGGACGGTGGTTAAGAGTCAGACTCTGGGGTGACAGGCGTTGGTGGCGCTGTCGGGGTGGTGGGGCTGATGGCAGCGTTTTGGTAGCCCGTGCTGTAGCAGCTGATCGGAGACAGGGAGTTTGGATCCAGGGGTTTGGTCCCTGCGGGGGTCAGGTACGACCTGTGTGCCGCTGCACCGCTCTGTGCTGCTGCCGCTGCGCCGCCTTTGGCGCCCAGGATGAACCTGGACTCGTCCTGCTCCTCCAGACTGGAGATGTCCTTCAACATGCTTTTACGGTAGGACACCGACAGCTTGTTGGAGCCGTCCGACATCAGGTTGAAGTGACGGACGATGAAGACGACGGGGAGAGGGAGCATGGCCACGATGATGAGAGAGAAGCACATGCCCAGCGCCCACGGAGGGTAGCTCTGGAAACGCTCCTGAGCCTGTGACACATACACACATACACACATACACACATACACA